GACGGAGCTGCTGGCCATCGCCCGCGACAAGATGCTGTGCCCCTCGGAGTCCATGCTGACGCGCTCGCTGCTGCTGGAGGTCATCGAGCTGCACGCCAACACCTGGAACCCGCTGACACCCACCATCACGCAGTACTACAACAAGACCATCCAAAAACTGACGGCCTGAGGCGCCGGGCGAGGGCAGGCGGACGGGGGGCGAGCAGAAGACATGCACCTTAAAAGGCAACGGGATCGCAGCAGAGCGGGAAGCGAGGACCTTTCCGATTTCCATACCTAAGGAGACAACCCCCAGCATGCTTAAGAATACGTTCGTGGGGTGGGGAGGGAGAAGCATGTTTCTTTTCAGCCGTGTCGCCGAGTGCCACCCCTCTTCCCTGCCGCGTTTTTGTCTTCGGGTTTCTTTTATGAAATCATTGCTCAAGCAGCAGCGCGTCCCGCCGTGTTATTGTCTGGCCGCAGAAAGGACACGGAGGAGCTGAAAAGCGAGGAGAAGTGCGGGCTCGTATTGTTTGCACGCCGTTCTCCCGGCTTGCCCTCACCAGCCGGCGGGAGACAGCATGCAGCAGATGTCCCGGGCGGACAAAGCGAGCCACGCACTGCGCCAGACGCCGGCAATCGAGGGCTTTTGTCGAGCGAGGCTTTCATTCTTTCTTCTCCCCTCCTCTTGTCTTCGACCTTCTGTCCCCACCTCCGCTCCTTCTATCCTCCACCCCTCCAAAACCGGATCTGAGAGTAGGACGGATTTGTATTTGCACTGGGTTTTCTTTTTCATAGTCGTTTTTATTTTATTTTATTTTATTTGGGACGGACAGTTGCGATCGACTTGGAAACGTGGAAGTGACACTGTCACGTGAGCTCAGAAATGGTTTACGTGAAGATGCGAAAGTGGAAGGAGGATTTTGAAGAAGTCCAAAAGCCACTGTAGAAGTACCGTAGCCACAGTTATCTTGCCAGTAACCTATTAGAGTAAGGAAAACTGTCTGCTCCGAGCTGGTAACTCCAAGAAACACAGGAGCCCTGCGGCTGTTTGCTCTTGCTGTTAAAGTCACAGCATCCCTCATCCACTAAACTGTAATCCATTTTTTTTTTTGTAATTTTTTTGTTTCTGTCGAAAGAGTGCTTTATTGTAATTACTGTCACGGTTGTAATTATACATTTAAAACCAGGCCTGTTATAGTTGGGCCGAATAATGTACAGGGCAAGGGAAAAAAATGAAGACTTGATGTTCTTCTTTGGAAACTGGTAAAGAGAAGACGAGACGCTTATGGCATAAAGAAAAGCCAAAAATACAGGTTTCAAGCCTAGCTTCTAAGTAGCTGAATTTCCTACCTGGTGTTTCTAGATTTGCGTTGTGCGGTGGCGGCTCGAACGTGGAGCTGTCTGCGTAGTCTTACTGATAGCGCGTCCTGGAGGGAGCGAGTCTCATGGCATGGGAACGTGCTAAGAGGGTGGCAGTGCGCAGGGAGTGCCAACGGCGAGGAGCGAGGGCGAGGGCTAGAGGAGGCTGGGGAGATGAGCACTAGTCCCAAAGCTTCCGCAAGTTGGGCAGAGAACTGGCAGCTTCTGTGTGTTTGGTTTATGAAGTCTCTGTTCTGGCCAAAGTCTGTAATTTCTGAGAAGAGCAAAGCTGCCCTCCAAACACTTCCCACGACTCTGGGCCTGCAGCAGGCTGATGC